GCCATAGCAAGTACAGGGACTCTGACACTGAATATAGGCATATCACTTCTTTTTTCACACTTAATGGAACAACCAGACCTTGTCCTCCTACTCTTTGACAAAGTAATCTAATTTTGCAACAGTGGTAAATATCTGTAGCTCGGGTGTAGGATGAAGCTTCATTCTCTGAGCTTGTGGGTTGGTTTCCGAACGTTTCGTTACCAGGCTAGATAAGATCTTCAGCAGAGTTTAGGGGATGTCAGTGTTCTTCTGTTTCTAAGGGCTTCTGGTGTGGGTGTATCAAATGAGGGTCTTGCTTGGGGAGTGCCAGATTTTGATGAACTCACGAGCATGGCGGGTGGTAGCATGGCCGATGATTTTTGTGCTGCTCCAATTGAATGGATGCTATTTGGTATTTGGTGTGGGTAGAGATTAAGGATTTGGGATCGTGGCGTTTGACTCCCAGCTAGTGTTCATGGATCCTGGTTTTTAATTGATGTGAAGTTTGCCCCACGTAGAATTGGTTGCAATGGTTACAGTTAATTTTGTAGATTCCATTGTTTCTTTCATCCTTCTGTATTTTGTATTTGGTTCTGAATAATTCCTGGCAGAGTGTGGCGGTGGGTTTGTAGACTATTGTTATTCCTAGGGGTTGGAGGATTCTGGCTGTCATTTCCGATGCTCCTTTTGTGTATGGTAGGGTTAGTTTTTGTGTGGTGGTTGGCTGTGTGTTGTGTTGTGGTTTGGGCGCTGTGTGTTAGAATATGAAGGTTTTTGGATAAACGTTATGGAGAAAGATTTCAACCAGCCATTTCTCTTCCGCTTTTCTTAGTGTTGTGGTGCTGCAGTGTGTCCTGACCCTTCTGAACAGGGTCTGGATATAACTTCTTTTGTGTGTGGTGGGGTGGTTGCTTGCGAAGCTGATGATCTGGTCTTGCAGAGTAAGAACTGTTGCTCTCAGAAGTTACATTCGGATTCATCTCCAACTTAGTCTGAATTCTACATATGGCACCAGCTTTGCAGTGATTGCCCCATAGACCAAAAACACCCAATCAGTTGAGGAATCTGCCAGCAGAGCCCTGTCTTGATAGGCGAACGGAATATTATTAGCTGCTGTATCATCACCTGCTTCTTGTTTTAAATCTGGGGAAATCTAATGGTTACAACTAACAAATAAAGCCAATAAATTCTATAGAGCTTCATAGAATAAACTACTTAGATGAGGGAATTTTTTTCCGGATTTTTCATCGGGCCCTAAAAACTCATTTTTTTCAGCTAGCCGGTCTGTCCTGATTTTAGGGTTAGTTTTAAATTTTTAATATTTATTTTAATTGACAAGTTTTAAATTATGGGCCAAATTTATAAATTATTTTAACTTTATTTTTAACTGTGATGTTTGTATAGATGTTTTTTATCTGGCTGTTCACTGCCCTGAGTCCGAAAGGAGAAGGGCAGTATAGAAATTCGAATAAATGAAAAATGAAAAAAATGAAATGAATAGAAGGGGAACTGATCAAATTTGCAGATGACGCTAAACTGGCAGGAATAACAAACACCCCAGAAGACAAGCTCAGGATCCAAAAAAATCTTGTCAGATTTGAATAATGGGCCCTATCCAACAAAATGAAATCTAGTGTGAGAAAAGCACCGTTTTACACTTAGGTAGGAGAAACCAAAGGTGCAAGTACAGATTAGATGAAACCTCAAAAACAGTAACTGTGAGAGGGGCCTTGGAGTGCTAGTGGATGATCACTTAAATATGATCCAGCAGTGGTGTGGCAGCAACCAAAAAAGCTAATATAATCCTTGGTTGTATAAACAGAAGCGTACAATCAAAATCATGTGAGGTATTAGTACCGCTTTATAAAGCCTTAGTAAGACCACCTAGAATACTGCATCCAATTTTGGTCAGCACATTACAAAAAAGATGTTGAGACTTTAGAAAAAGTACAAAATAGAGCAACTAAGATGATTAAAGACTTAGTTTTTAATCTAAGGATTAAAGGAGAGGAGCAACCTGGAATTAAGGAAAGACTTCCTAACAGTGAGAACAATTAACTAGTGGAACAGCTTGCCTTCAGAAGTTGTGGGTACTTCATCACTGGAAGTTTTAAGAGGAGACTGGACAGTCATTTGTCTGAAATGGTAGAGGGTGGGTGTCGGCAACCCGCAGCTCCAGAGCCACATTCAGTTCTTTCATCCCTCTACTGTGGCTCCCTGTTGAGTGAGCCCACCACTGGCTGGCCCCGCCCCTCATCCTCCCCTCCCAGTCACTCTTCGCCTGGCCTGAGAAGGTAAAGGCAATGGCGGGGGATGGAGAAGCAGCCGGGTCTGATTCTCCGGTGCCTCATCTCTTGCTGGTGCTTCTTCTGCTCTTGTTGGTGCTGGGCATGTCTCAGTTGCTTGAGGAGATGAGCAACCTGCTCTCCACCCCAAGTCACTGGCCTGGCCTGGCTGTGACCAACACTGGCTTCGCTAACCCGAGGGCTGGCGCGGTTCGGAATAGGATCCGGGAGGGTGGGAAAGGGGGATGGGCCTGCAGTGCCCAGACATGGCTTTGAAACTTGTACGGGGGACTTTCACCACCCAGAGGATGCTTTTCAATCAAAGCCACCACTGGCACCGCTCCACTGGAGGAGTAAAGAAGCTCAGGGGAGCAGAAAAAGAGGGCTGGCCCTGCTGAATCTCACACGCCCACCCCAGGGGTCAGGCTCAGAGAAAGCCAGAGTGTTCTTGCCAAAGACGCTCTCCTGTCAGCTGGTCAACCTGCCCACCCTGTGCACCTTTGCTGTGCTTTGACCAAGCCTGGCCGCTCACTTGAGGAGGGTCTTCCCACTCAAGCACACCCTCCCAGCCCTGCCACAGCCATCCAGGGGCTTGTGAGAGGAGGGGGGGGAGTAGGAGGAGAATCATCTTGGGGGAAGCCTCTGCCCCAGCTCACACTCATTCCTCAGCCAGCCCGGATTTTCGAAAAGTTGCCAACAAGAAAGAAAAGGAGTAGCGAAGAGCCCTAAGGAGAGCCCAGCCTTGGCTTTTCGAGAGAAAGAGAAGAGTCAGAGAGTCAGAGAGACAGAGAGAGAGGGAGAGGGAGACACACACACATACAAAGAGACGTAGAGAGAGAGAGAGAGATACAGGGAGAGGAGGAGAGACAGATGGAAGGAGAGAGAGAGAGAGAGAGAGAGATGTCAAAAGGGTTTTGTGGTTCCCAGTGCTTTTTAACAACCGGTTCTCTGCCCTAATGACCAGCTGGGTAGGCATGGCTAGGGGTCATGTGACTGGGTGGGAGTGACTGACGTCAAGTCGGCCACACCCACCCAGGTTTTGTGGCTCCTGGTGTTTACTTTTCTGTGGGAAACGGGTCTAAATGGCTCTTTGAGTGTTTAAGGTTGCAGACCCCTGGTATAGGGTCTCCTGCTTGAGTAGGGGGCTGGATTAGAAGACCTCCAAGATCCCTTCTAGCTCTATTCTGATTGACTGAAAATGCTTTTATGTGTTCGTACATTTGTAGACCCTTATTAGTAAGCACTAAGTTATATTTTGTTTTGTTTCTTGTCTCATGTTTTGTGTACAGTGAAAGCATCTCCTCCATCTTTTTGGAATACTAATATGTGTGGTTAGTCTGTCTTTCACAGTTAGGTTTTTAGTAGTTGGGCTATAGTTTCTTTTTGTGTGAAGATTGATGCAAAGAATGAATTAAGCAGTTCTGCTCTCTCTCTGCTGCCTGTTATTTCCTCGCCATCTTAGTAGACCTACTGTTTCCTTGACTTTTTTCTTGTTATTTGTCTGTTGAAAGAAACATGTTTCTTTTTAATTATCTTCTTTGACTTTTGTTGCAAGTCTTTGTTCATTCGGAGCCTTTATTTTCCTGACTTCATATTTGCAGATTTGGGCTATCTGCTGATACTGATCTGCCTCACTTACTGTATGTGTCCCTCTTGTAATTATCCTTTTTTTCTTTCAGATTATCAGAGAGATCTTTGTGCACCCATGGTGGGTATTTTTAATAGATTTCTTGCTTTTCTTTTCAGTGGTATTGCACTGGACTGGGCTCTTATGATCATAATTTTCAACTTTCCCATGCTGCCTGAGTTGTTTGCCCTTTTAGGATTTTCATCCATAGAATCTTTCTTAAGCTCTCTTTGAATTTGTTAAAATCAACTCTTTTAACGTTTAAGACACTGGTTGGATTATATTCTACTGCTTGTGTTTGCATTATATTGAATTTCAATATGACGTCACTCTCACCCAAAGTTCCAGCAACTTCAATTCCTTCTATCACTTCATCCCTATTAGTAAGAATTAAGTCCAGTATAGCTTTTCCTTTAGTTCTCTCATCAATCTTTTGGATGACAAAGTTGTCAGCTATGTTGGTTAGGAATCTATTTGATCTCCCACTGGCTGCAGAGTTTGTCTCCCAGATGATTTCAGGATAGATAAAGTCTCCCATTACTACTGTGGTATGTTTCCTAAATACATTCATTAATTGATTAGCAAAAAGCTAATCTATTTCTTCTACTTGGTTGGGTGGCCTTAGTATATGCCTATAACAATGTCATTCTTTTTTTCCTTTTGTATTGACCCATATGGATTCTAGGTGGTTTTCATCCTTGATTTTGTGGATTTCTGTACAGATGTAGTGATCTTTCATTTATAATATAACTCCACCTCTTCTTTTGTTAGGTCTGTTTCTTTTGAATAGTATGCATCCTGCCATCAGTACATTCCAGTCATGAGTTTCATACCACCTAGTTTCAGTAATGGCAACTATATCATACATATTTTGCTTACAAATATGACACCATGCCCTTTTCCCATTGGTTCAGGATCTCGCTTTCATTGAATTTGCTGTAGCTGAGGTTCCCAGAGAATGTAATATTGGATAGCATAATGTGAGGGAAATGTGTAAATATGCAGAGGCTTCAGGAAACACGATTTTAAAAAGACACTTGCAACTTTTTTTCAATTTCAACTGTAAGTTGCATGCTTTTTTTAATTTTTTATATACATGCATACACCCAATGTAGTTCAGTAACACATCAACAAAGTTTAAAATGGAGATAGTTGTATGATGAATCCTCTGGGTTTCAATCACAACAGACAAACTGCACATCATTAAGCCCTGTGTTATCTTTAAACTTTGAAGTGCTAGAAGGCTCAACCTTGGTCTTGATACCACATAGGGCCCCGGTTTTGCAGGATTCGCTCCATTCACCATATTTACCCCAAGTAGTTGAAGAAGTTTTTAGCACTTTCTGATCTTGGCAAGTGAACTTAATATTATTGGCTGCTGTATCATCAGCCGCTCCTAGATATTTTTCCACCCGGAGAGCGAAGGACATTAAATTGCCACTGGAACACTTCACAACCTTTCCCCAATCTCCAGCACTGTAAGAAAATACAATATTCAGAAAAAACATAGAAGGGCCTCAGAGATCTTCTAGTCCAACCCCCTGCTCAAAGGCAAGAACTTTATACCAGTCAAATGGTTATCCAGTCTATCCAGTGAAGAACAACTCTGAAAGGCAAGCTATTCCATTGATTAATTGTTCTCACAACCAGAACATTTCTCCTTGGTTCTAAGTTGGATATCTCTTTAACAAGCTTCCACCCGTTGTCCTGCCCTCTGATGCTTTGGAGAATAAGTCAATCCCCTCTTTTCTGTGACTACCCTTCAATACTGGAAAACATTTATTATGTTTCCCCTAATCCTTCTCTTTGTTAGGCTAGACCAGGAGTCTGCAACCTTAAACACTCAAAGAGCCATTTGGACCCGTTTCCCACAGAAAAAGAACACACCGGGAGCCACAAAATCTGGGTGGGCGTGGCCAACTCAATGTCACTCACTCCCACCCAGTCACATGACCCCCCTAGCCACGCCTACCTAGCCACAAAACCATTCTTTCTCTATGTCTCTCTCTCCCACTCTCCCTATCTTCCCCACTCTCTCCCCCTCCTCCTTCTGTATCTCTCTGTATCTCTCTATCCTTCTCCCTATCTTCCCCTATCTTCCACCCCTCCGTGTATCTCTGTGTGTGTGTCTCTTTATGTTTCTCTCCCCCTGCCCCCCTCCTCCCTGTGTGTGTGTGTTTGTCTCTCTGTCGGAAAGCTGTGGCTGGGCCAAGGCAGCAAGCTCTTCTTGGAGTGCTTCGCTACCATTTTTATTTCTTCTTTTTGGAAATCCGGGCTGGCTGAGGAAAGATCACCAGCAGCGGTGGAGGCTTCCTTTTGGCAACTGTCCTCCTCCTTCCCCCACTCCTTCTCCTCTCCCTGGCCAGCTATGGCTGAGCCAGGAGCGTGTGCACACGTGGGGAGACCCTCCGCAACCGAGCGCCAAAGCGCAACAAAAGTGCACGCTTAAGGAGGGTCTTAACAGGATGGGGCTTCTCTCCTGCATTGAGGCTCTGGCCATTGCCTTGCCAACCCCCTGCAGCTCTTTGGCTGAGCACGGAGGATTCGAACTCCAGCCCAAAGCGGCAGGAAGCGAAGGCTGCCTTACACGCAAATGTGACGTGAAGGCGGGTACAGGGCCACTTTGCTCCTGCACTCTCCAGTGACCCTCCTCCCCCTCTTGTGACCCCCTGGTGGGCTGTGGGTGAGCCAGGAGCATGTGCACATGTGGGGAGACCCTCCTTACGCGAGTGGTCACCTGCCCGGTGCACGCCTTTCCTGCGCTTTGGCGCTTGCTTGAGGAGGGTCTCCCCAGGCATGCGCATTCTCTCGGCTCAGCCACAGCCCATCAGGGGGTCACAAGAGGAGGAGGGGGAGTAGGGTCGCCCGAAGCCTCCGCCATGGCTGGTAATCGTTGCTCAGCCAGCCTGGATTTCCAAAAATATCTAAAAAAATAAAGGGGGTGGGGGGCAGGGCCAACCAGTGATGGGACATGGAGCCACAGCAGAGGGCCCAAAGAGCTGCATGCAGCTCTGGAGCCGCGAGTTGCCGACACCCGGGCTAGACATATCTAGCTCCCTCAACTGTTTATCATATCTCATACTGAAGTTTTATGCATAATAACATAAAACTTCATAAAACATTTAGTGTCCTGTACATCATGTGTGATTGCACATGATTTGTGATAAATAAATCTGTACCATAACTTTCTGTGCAACTAGCTGTTCTTGTGGACCAGGAATAAATTCAGTGGCTTTTTTGCCCTTCAAATTCAGCTTCATTTCTGACAAGCAGTTTAACATTGGAGGTTGAGGAAGACGGTGATTCTTGCTTTCTCTGTCTTATTTTCTTTGGATTCATAATATCAGCACAGAGCAAAAAATGCAATGACTAAAAATTATCCTATTTTTCTCATATCAGTTCATGTAGCATAACATATTTCTGTCAACCCTGCAAAGTGAAAGAGTCAAATCCGAAAGATACTCACTCTCCAGTAGTAGACTCAATTTCTTTACCATCTGAACAGTGAAGACGGATGCCATTAAGAGCGGAGTCATCTGCCCCTAAACCTTGAGATGGCTGAACCTAATGCAAAAGTAAAAGCAAAAAACAAAACTCCAGTTAATCCTCAATTTATGACTGTAATTGAGCCCACAATTGGTCATAAATTGGTCATTAAGTAGGTCATCACATGACCGTACCTGATTTTATTATCTCTTTTGCAGCAAGCTTTAAATGGTTGGTTCAGCCATTAAACGAACCCACTCTTCACTCTGGGGCATTTTTTTCTGGAAACTGAAAATAAATGCCGATTTCTGGCAAAAATGTTGTAAAGCAAGATCACTTGATGGCAAGATGCTCCAAATGGCCATGAATGTGGTCATGTGATCACCGGGGGTGGGGTAGCTATTAGAACTTTGAATCCAAGTTTCAATCCACCTAAGCAGATTTTTTGAGATCCCTCATAACATTGAATAATCACTAAGCGACCAGTCATACATTAAGGACTATCTTTATAATGAACCTGATTCTGTGATCTCGAATTTAACAGGACCTTTGTAAGCAAACTCAATGGGAGAAATTAAACTTTCTACTGACTTGTCAAGAGATCCCCAACCCTACACTATTTCTTTGGAATAGGAAGTTGGAGGCCCCAAACTTGCAATGAAGCATCATATCTGAATTGGATTACTTCATATCTTAATGTCCCAAAAGTGCTTTTTTCGAGAGGCAACTGGACTTTCTGGTTTTTCTTTGAAGATGTTTTGCTTCTCTAAACAAGCTGAAGAAGCTTCTTGGATGAGAAGTGATACGTCTTCAAAGAAAAAACCAGAAAGTCCAGTTGCCTCTCGAAAAAAGGACAATTGGAACAACCATGACCTGGATGACTGAGAATCTCCATAGACATTCATACTTCAATGTAATCAGGAATTGGGATCTTTTTTGGGGAGAAAAGGAGGCAAGGAAATTGCCAGGCACTGCCCTTTCCCACCTGCCCAACATCAAGTCCTGATTTGTGGTGATTTTCTTTTGTTTAAAATACAATGAAGTGTAATGCTGTCCTTTGGGAAATAACAAAAATATTATTATTTTTTTCCTAACAGTTTTATCCTTTATTAAAAAGATCTCATCTGAAGTTTCCATGTTTATTTCCTCCACTTGAGCACACCGTTTTAAAACCAACTGAAACAGGGATCAAAGCTAATGCATTATTAAACATTCTTAAATTCTTCTATTTTCTGCTGCCATAAAATAATAAATGGATGTGAAGCAATAAAAAGGGTAATTAAGAGACTATTACTCAGTAATCTTAATATTATGCTCAAAAATTGGGCCTCTCAGTTTGCCACCAAATCTCTGGAGGCTACAATGAAAGAAGTTTAAAATTACGAGTTATCCATTCTACAGGGAGGGAGGGAAGGAAGGAAGGAAGGAAGGAAGGAAGGAAGGAAGGAAGGAAGGAAGGAAGGAAGGAAGGAAGGAAGGAAGGAAGGAAGGAAGGAAAAGCGCCTTAAGGACAAAGTTACTAATTACGATTGCAGATAATCTTGGCTAGAGTGGACTGACCAAACATAAGAGAATGATATTGGCCAACTGAATGTCACTGTAATATAAAATATTGAGAACTACTTTTTAAGGTTGCTTCCATATGACAATGAAAAAGCAACATTAATAAGGAAGCACTGAGTAGTGTTCAATAAATTAAGGCATCGTGAATAGTCTCTAGACTGCTTGCAGCTGTTACATCTGAATTAGGTTTAAAAAAATGAATAAATGGAACATACATGTAGCTGCTTCCATCAGGCCTACATCTGATCTAGATATTTGTAGCAAGATGCTTCATCTGACTTTCACTCAAAAACTTTTCTTTTCCTTAACTTCCCTCCCCGTTTTTAGTATTATAGTAATAATTTTTATACTTTTATAAATTATAAATAATTTTTATACTTTTTTTAGTATAAAAAAAAGACAAATTATCACCTCAAGTTCAATGATTTATTATTTATTTATTATTTATTAATTCAATTTATATGCCACCCCTCTCCTAAGACTCAGGGCGGCTCACAATGCATTTAAAATCATTATAAAAAAACATTTAAAAATTTTAAACATTAAAACATTAAAACTCATTCACACCATTCATGGCCGGATCTTGCCAGATCGCAAGAGTAAGATCAATGGCCCCAGGCCTGCCGGAAAAGCCACGTCTTCACCGCTTTTCAGAAGGCCAATAGGGTGGGGATGGTCCAGATCTCAGGAGGTAACTGGTTCCAGAGAGCTGGGGCAGCCACAGAGAAGGCCCTCCCCCGCGGGCCTGCCAGGCAGCATTGTTTAGCTGATGGGACCCGAAGGAGACCAACTCTGTGGGATCTTACTGGTCACTGGGAGCTATGCGGTAGAAGGCGGTCTCGAAGATACCCTAGCCCTGAACCATGTAGGGCTTTAAAGGTAATAACCAACACCTTGAATTGTGACCAGAGACCAATAGGGAGCCAGTGCAGCTCGCGGAGAATTGGTGTAATGTGGGTGTACCTACGTACACCCACGACAGCTCGCGCGGCTGCGTTCTGGACCAACTGTAGTCTCCGAACACTTTTCAAGGGTAGCCCCATGTAGAGCGCGTTGCAATAATCTAACCGTGAGGTGACAAGGGCATGAGTGACTGTGAGGAGAGCCTTGCGATACAAGTAGGGTCGCAATTGGTGCACCAGGCGAACCTGTGCAAAGGTCCCCCTAGCCACAGCTGTCAGATGTTGCTCTAATCTTCATCTGACTTTCACTCAAAAACTGGTAACGTTTTTACCATTATCACCTCAAGTTCCATGATTTAGTTTTCCCAAGCCCAAGGGAAGTTTTAGCAGCACCCAAAATGGGTTAAGACTCCTTTAGAAAGATGACTGGGAGAGTGTTTTAGCCTCATGAGGTCTGAACAGAGTAAAAACAGGAGATTTTTACCTTCAAGGAGAATCCATCTGCATAGCCTTGTGGACACATGGCTATTTCTCCCCATTTTCCAAACCGTTCTCCATTTAGCACTTTGAGGATCTGGTTATAATCTCGACATTCTGCATTCCAAAGCCAGGAGGAAAGGATCAGGAACACTGCAGAACTGAAGCGGGGCTCCATTGTCAGACAATTCTGTGTAGATCAACATAAGAAATATTTAATGCTTATCAAGTTTTGGGATGTGCACCTGACAAGCAAGTTAGCTTGGTCACTCACCAGTGAAACACTGGTGAAGCAGGTACATCAGCACCTGCATTTTCTGTGTCATATGAGAAGAGCACATCTTCCTTCCCCTACGCTTACCACTTTCTATAGAGGCACGATTGAAAGCATCATGTCCTATTGTATTACTGATTGGTTTGGAAGTATTACTCTTTCGGTTAAGAAGGCTGTGCAGAGAGTGGTGCGAACAGCAGAAAAGATGATTGGAGGGTCCCTTCTCTCCAGGACATAGCACAGGGATGTCATACTCGATTTCATTGAGGGACACATCAGGGTTTTGTTTGACCTTGGAGGGCTGGGGTGGGCATGGCTAGTTTGACATCACTTGTGTCGGGGGCACCTGTGGTGACCCAAGTGCTCTGCCAGTGAAAAGAGGCTCTCGAGCTCTGTCCTTTGCTGTTTCCAGGGCGGCTCCATGGGCCAAATCTAAGCACCCCATGAGCCAGACCTGGCCCTCTGGCCTTAAGTTTGATGCCCCTGACATAGCATATAAGTGCTGCTTAACCAGTGTCCTCAGTATTGTCTGGGATGCTACACATCCTCTCCATGACCAGTTTTCTTTATTACCTTCTGGAAGAGATTTCACAGTATCTGAAGCAGAACAACGAGATTCTGGAATAGCTTTATACCATATAGAATCAACCTTGTTAACGCTCAAGACTCTTTTTTCTGCTATATATTCTAAATGGTCTCTGTGTTGTATGTACATATACAATATGTATACAGTATGTATGTGCATGTATGGGTATGGGTATAGATATTCTTTTGAGAGCTGGTATCAGAATTTCATTTCTTAATGTGTGCCAGTGTGTCCACAGAAAAAAGTGACAATAAAGATTATTTTATCTTATCTTATCTTATCTTATCTTATCTTATCTTATCTTATCTTATCATCTTAACGTATCATCTTGTCTTGTGTCTTCTCTTGTCTCATGTCTATTTTACCTTAATAAAAGAATCAGAGCTTTCAAAATGTATAGCCTAGACCCATGATGGCAAACCCATGGCACGCGTGCCACAGATGGCACGCATAGCCATATCAGTGGGCATACCAGTTCAGCTCTGGCACGCATGCTCATGCCGGCCAGCTGATTTTCAGGCCTTGTGGGCCCACCAGAAGTAGGGAAACAAACTGTTTCCTGTCTCCGGAGGGCCTGTGGGGGATGGGGAAGGCCTTTCTAGGAGTCTCCGGAGGCTGGGGACAGCAAAAAGCATCCCTTCCTGTCCAACCAGGAGTTGGGAAATGGGCCATTTCAGACCTCCAGAGGGCCTCCAAAGGGGTGGGGAAGGCTGTTTTCACCCTCCCCAGATGCATAGAGAGGATCTGGAGCCAGGTGAGAAAGAAAAACAAGCCTACTGGGCCATCGCGTGCCGGGAGCGGGGGGGGAGGTTGCACGCACATGCGCAGGGCAGGGCGCATAGAATTATGGGTGTGGGCACCCGCACACACGAACCTCCCCCACTCCCCACCCCTCCTGGCACGCGATGGCAAAAATGTTAGCCATCACTGGCCTAGACATTCAAGCTGAATCTCTGGTTCTACTTTATTTAAGTTCAACCTATCTTCTTTGTGAAACCAGATACTAGTTTCCTCTTTTCCTTCCATCCCATTGTCACTGTTGTCCTCCATACATTCATTCCTTACATTACTAGTCATCTTAATCTTGCTTATTTCCCCCTCTTTCTTCAAAATATTATTTTTGGCCCATATCTCTTTTTCAGAGGCTTGTTCTCTGACTCCGCCTGATTGTTTCCCTTCTGCACCTATAATTCAGGGCTAAGTGACATGATACCCTTAGACAAAAATGGATCTGGAGACCATACTCTAGATGTAATCTCTCTTTTTTTTTCTTCAAAAGATCACCTGAAAACCACCTAGAAACCCTGAACTTTTTTCACTTTATTTGTTGATAATATTACCTTTAGACCCCATGGAAATGCCTAGAAATCCTAGAAGACCAGTTTGCCTTCCGATTCTTGGGTTGTTTTGGGATTGGTCACGTCCACAGGGCCATCACTTTATCCATGGGGGAGATTCCCAAGCCAGCCATTTTGCAAGCGTACCCATCATAGATTTTCAACATTCTAAATTGACCCATTCGACAAAAGATTGCCTATTGCTCCCTTAATGTATTTTTCTTCTTTATTACTTGAAGCTTTTCACACTCTATGGACTCTTTTGCCTTTTCTTTTCTTTTTCTTTGCCTTAATTTCTCAGTCTCTCCTTCCTTCTCAACCATCTCTCACATTTATGGTCACACTATTCTTAAAGCAAAAAGAGTTATCCATATTTCACTTGAACCAAGTTTTTTACTTTTGTAAACAACTAGATGTGTGTAATTCTGACTCAGTCACAACCTCTGGCCTCCCTTCCCTGCTCTCTGTGGCCCCTGCAGCTCCACTTACCGTCTTCCTGCAGTTAATTGTCTTATAGCCAGTATGGGAAGGACTTTAAATGGAGAACTATTTGTAGGCAAGATGAGAAATAGGGGCAGGGTCAATTCTAGATGTTTATTGTTTGGTACACATGAGAACCCAGACTATTAGTTTCAGTCACTAACTTTTGCTTTAGTTGATCACCCACAGAGATTTCATATATTTCCATACTTGGAATAACAGGAAGTCAAGGTACTAATTTTTAATAATTAGTCATAAGAGACTTGGAGATCAAGTTGCCTACTTCTGCAATAAGCCATAGTTTGCACAGCACAAGAGTAGCTCGCATAGCACTAAGTCAAACAGACCATATTATGGGACACCATCATGTATGAATGCCAGCCACTAGAAAGAATAGATTTCCTTCTTTTTACTAAAATGGGTAAAACGCACAATTCTGTGTGTGTGGTATTGGAGAGAAGAGAAAATTATTAATCATGTGTCCATGTTAATCATATTATTCCAAAAACGTCTGCAGAGATGCAGCAACTCAACCACTGTGACTATGCAAAATGTTTTTCCTTGGAAAGAAAAAAAAAAAGTATGTAAAATGCCCTGGAAAATTTGCACATTAGCCTATTAAGTTCTTAATTTTGAAAATGTACACATTTTTATTTATTTATTTAAATATTTCCCCCCCTATTATCTCATATAGTCTTGGCACCACAGCCATTCAGTTCAACAATCTGCATGTCTTCCTCTGGAAGGATGGTGTCCTCCAGAAGAGTTAACCAAGAAATTCTACTAACTCTACATTTACTGTCTTTACGTTTTGAAATGAATTATCTAGGCAGATCTGAAACCAATACTGAAGCTAACTGTTCAAACAGTGTTTTTTAAACAAATTGCTGAAATGCTTTCTAAAAATTAACTGTCAGAACAAATTGCTGAACTATGTCTTGATGAAAGCCATAATCTCATGGAAATTTATTTTTATCAGTTTAAGTCAGTCTGCCATATTTAGTGTAATTGATGACCTGAAGAGAACATGTCCTTGGAACAGATCATTCTGGTTGGATTATATGGACCTCTGCAGAAAACAGCCCAACAATTGTATTAGTGAAGAAGAGTGTTTGACCTCAGGGGGCCGGGTTGGGCATGACCAGTTCTAAATGCTTTTAGAAGCCTCTAAAAAAAAAAAAAAAGTCATGTAAAAAAGTATAAAAAAAAGAAGAAGAAGAAGAAGAAGAAGCCTCTGACAATCAGACAACTCAGCTGGGATCGCCAGAGGCTTTTAAAGGCCTCTGATAGAGACTTTTTTTGCTGGGTCAGAGTTATTCACCGACTCCTGGATTCCCTTTTAAGCGTGAGACATTTCCACTTTTTTCCTTACAGTGCGGTCCGCTGGTCAGATGCCTTTCCGGCTGTCAAGCCATGGTCCCTGCCAGCCTCCTGAAGAGCGGAGGTGGTTCTGACTTTTTCAGATCCTTGGTTTTGCCCATGGAAGCATGGAGGGGACTTTGCCTGGGCAAACTGTTTGAGGTTAGCACATTGGCACAGGGAGTGGAAGAAGCCGTGGCAGCAGTTACCCTCAGCGGTCTGCCTGCCTTCCTTACAGACCCTCAGTCCCTGCCAGCTTAACCTGGGCACACTGATTACGGCCAGAGAGCTCAGCGCTCTATTTGCAGAGCCACGACAGCTGGCACCCGGTCCAAGTCTGCCTGCCTTTGCTGCGTGGCTTCCTGTCATTGTCTCAAGATAACATGGCAGCTCTGGAGCCTTCCTGCAGCAAGGCTCCGAAGGAAAGGGAGGTTAGGGATCTTCCTCTGCCTCCTCCAGATCGCAGCCAACAGCCAAGGCTCATCTAGCTGAGCCTCGACTGGCAAGCAGATTAAAACTGTTGCCAGCACCAGAGGCACTAAGGCGGCCAAAAAAGACGCCCAGAGGCATCAAAAGACCATAGAAAAGGAGTTAGCCAAGGCAGAAAAGGTGGCAAAGAAACGAGTGGGACCTGTCATCCCCCTCCCCTTGGAAGGTGAATCATTGGGGAATTTTGAAAAGACAAGCCTCTCGCAGCCTCTTTCTTACAGAGCCTAGTCACCAGATGGTGCTGTTTGTAATGAGTTTTTTTCTGCCTCAGCCTCAATGATGCCTCATTTAGCTGTGCAGGGCCATTATTCTAGATCAGGCTCAGGACCAGCAGAGGCGACCTTTATGCCAATGGTAGCTGCTCTCTGCCAAAGAGAGGATATTAGAAGTGCAGAAAAAACAATTGCTCCCAACCTGCCTTCCATTGAGGACCTGCATACTGCATGAGTCAAAAAGAGGACTGTGAAAATATTTACAGACCCCTCACATCCTGGACATAAATTGTTTTAACTCCTACCCTCAAAATGAGGCTATAGGGCACTGCACACCAGAACAACTAGACACAAGAACAATTTTTTCCCAAACTCCATCACTCTGCTAAACAAATAATTCCCTCAACACTGTCAAACTAGTTTCTAAGTCTGCACTACTAT